AATAAATTTCATATAGAGAAATATATCTTTTTATTAGTCTTCTCTTTTCAAAATAAATGGACTTTTTCTCACACCACCCATAAATACACCGATAATATCTTAATAAGATCATTACACTTCCTGTATCCAATACCCAGCTATGCAGGCCTTTTTATATTTATTCTTAAATTGTTTTACACTTGTACATTGTTTTAAATCATCACCCAATCTATTCCATAATTTTACACCACTCACAGATATACAAAAACTTTTCCTAGTTGTACGTATGGCCTGAGTTTTTAAATTTAAGTGGCCCCTCAATCCATAACCACCCTCTCGATCACCAAACAGACCCCGAATACCACTTGGCACCAAATTATATCTGACTTTATACATAAATACAGCAGATTTGTATTTTACTAAATCAAAAAATGTTAAAAATCCTGAATGTGCAAATGATAAATTCGTATGATCCCTATAACCAAGTCCATGAACAATTCTAATGGCCCTTTTCTGTAGTTTAAATAATGAGCATAATGCGCTTTTGTATGTATTTCCCCATCACTCAACACAATAGACCAAGTAAGGTACAAACATAGAACAGTAACGAGTATGGAGTGACTTCCGATCCACAATATTTTTAACTCTTGCCAATATAGATATACTTTTAGCCAATTTATTATGTATATATTTAATATGAGGTTTCCAACAGATTTTATCATCAATATTTATGCCTAGAAATTTTGTTTCGTAAACTCTTCCTATATTGGCATCCCCCACCCTTACTTGGATCTGACGATTTTAATATTCCATATCCAAACAGCATGAATTTTGTTTTGTCCAGATTTAGTAATAACTTATTCCTGTCACACCATTTCTTCACCTTGTCCAGTTCCACAGTAATCAGACCCAAAAGTTGCTGTAGGTCTTCCCCAGAGGCCCATATAGTAGTATCATCAGCGAATAGTACAAAGTTCAATAATTCAGAAACATTGCATATATCGTTACTATACAGTATGAAAAGTTTAGGACCCAAAACTGACCCCTGTGGGACTCCACATACTATATCCAGAAAATCTGATTGGTGCACGCCCAGACTTACAAACTGCCGTCTGTTTGTCAAATAACTTTTTTATTATGTTGTGTTGTGTTCATATTTATTAATATGAACACAATGGGCTTGCATTGTTTATACCAATCCATGACTTACACTTCAATTTGCTCTGAAAAAGACAAAAAAGGGGAACAAAAGCACAAAATTTGGGTGAGAACCTGGATGGAGAAGCACAGACAACACTGACTGTACAGCTACAGACGGATCTGAAACACATCAGTCTCATAATGGTACGTCTCTGAAATAAGGTTAATGTGGTAGAGGCGTTCATTCTCCTGCCACAGTTCAGTAAGTTTTAGATCCACTTCAGCTATCCAGTGCACTTTCATACTACAGTCCTTTTATCACCATTCTTCAGTCTTTAGCTTTATCTTTTGTTTATTTACCAGGACTTCTCCCTCGAACATCCATTAGCGATGTCAGTCGTAAATACTAAACATGTTAAAAAAAATTTTTTTATGGGAACCAGTGGCCGTGACAAGTTCTTAAGATGACAATCTTTATTGGGCACACACCAAATGACTTTTTTCTGCCAACTGTCAACAAGGACTGACTAAGACTGGGCCTGACTTGTTCCAGCTGGGTCTGATCAGTTGTCACACCCAAATCCATCCATCCATTATCTATACCGCTTACTCCTGAATAGAATTGCTAGGGGGCTGGAGCCTATCCAAGCTGACACTGGGCAAGAGGAGGGGTACACCCTGAACAGGTCACCAGTCTATTACAAGGCTTGTCACACACAAATACAATTCATAATTAGTGCAACAGTCATCAGGTTTGTCCCTTAATTTAATGAGATTTCCATTAATCTTTCACCTCAGTTGTGGTGGTGGATGACATTTCCAGGCAAAGCATGTGCAAGGCTGCAATATCCTTACATGAGAGTCATTCTACACCTAATCAATGTCCAATACAACCCTTGAAGAGCAACTACACCCTCATAATTTGCTCAAAGTGTCTCTCCCAGCATATTTAAAGTGTGCAACACAGAAGCTAGGGAGTAACAAGTAGGCGGTGGCCCAAGTGTTGTGTCTACTGCCTCAGCCTCAGGTTCTCACACACAACATAGTTTTTCTTATCAGGCTTTGCTCATGCTAATGTACTTGATGGAGCTGCTGCTACCCTGGTTGGGGAACAAAATAGACCTAGGAGTCTTGTCTACGTTGTCATGGATAGATGAGGCCAGGGAAACTGAACTGAACTTTGCAGTCAACGCAGAAATAAAGTAGATAAATGTGAACAGAAAAATCTGTTTTTTCACAAAACATGAATGTTGCTGGAAAAACCTATATGTCAAAGTCATACCAAGAAAATAAAAGAGGGAACTGTTTACCTTATCACCAGCATTTGGGTTCTTGTCAGGATGGTATTCTTTTGCCAGCTTCCGGTATGCCTAGGAGTACACAAAAGAGGGAGCCTGATCATTCTCAGTGTAGACATGGAATATTTACATGGATCACACACCCCATTTCTGATTGTTTATGTAATGACACGCGTCTGACAAAAACAGACGTATCCATAGAGAAAACACCTCTAAGGTTAACTGACTGCCGTTGAATAGTGTTATATTTAGGTTTACTGCTAAAAGTATATCCATTTCCTCGACTTACTACAGTTAATGTTAGTCACTAGTTTTAAGTAGGCTACATTACACCCGCATCTAACCTTTTACAAAAACGGCAATTCAAAATGTCTGACAATTTAACCGCTTGTTAATTTAACGTTTGGGTAAAGGTACATAGGCTAATTAGCATCTCTTGCTAGGGCAATCACAATACAATCAGGATCAGATTTATTGACCAACATCAGGACCATCACCAAGAAGGCACAGCAGAGGATGTACGTCCTGTGCCAGCTCAGGAAGTTTGACCTGCCCCAGGAGCTGCTGATACAGTTCTACAGAGGAATCATCGAGTCTGTTCTCTGCACCTCCATCACTGTCTGGTTTGGCTCAGCAACCAAACGGGACAAGTACAGACTTCAGTGGACAGTCAGGACTGCAGAAAAGGTCATTGGTGTGAGAGCCTGCCCTCCATGGAGGACCTGTACACCTCATGGGTCAAAAGGAGGGCAGAGAAGATTTCTGCAGACCACTCACACCCTGGACACAATCTGTGTGAACTCCTCCCCTCTGGACGGCGTTACTGGTCACTGTACGCCAAGACAACCAGGCACAAGAATAGTTTCTTCCCCTGAGCCGTCACTGTGATTAACACCTAACTCACAACAGTATGACTGGACAATAACCCTCAGTCCAATACCTGTAAATATACATTAAACATACAAATCCATAGAATGTGTGCGTGTGTGTATATACAGGTCTCTATTTATAAGTACTTTACCTTTATTTTTTTCTTGCTTCCTAATGCACATTCCTTTATTCTGTTCTATCAGCCTTATATTGTTTACTTGCCCTTTGCCTTTGCCATACGTAAGGATATGTACATACTGTACATATTGAAAGCCACTATACCAGAGTCAATAATGCTGTTATGAAATAATGCAAGCCTTAAATAACGTTAGTCATTCTAGTAAAGTTAACTAAGACTAGGGGCCTTGAATAAACGTAGCGTTAGTTAAGTAAAACTGGATACCCAAAACGGGCAACTTCAAAGTCATTAATGTTACTAGACTAGCTCACAATGAGTCATCTAATAATGACACGATATGTGTCCACCTAGCTACCGTTGGATAAGTATCAGAATCAGAATCTGCTTTATTGGCCAGGTGTGTCGGACACATGAGGAATTTGACTCTGGTACATCGACTGTGTATGTACATATCCTCATGTAAGGGGCAAGTAAACTGTAAACCAGCACAAGGCTGTGTAATATAACAAAATAAGCAGTATTAACAAGCAACAAACAGTGTAAACAATGCGAAATAAGCAGTATAAACAGGCAGTAAACAATGTAGACAAAGGAATGCTCACTGAAATGATTTTGGCTAGCCCTAGCTAACGTTAGCTAGCTGCGCATAAGGCCATTTTCTGAATGAAGCAAATTTCACATTTGAAACAAACGCGTAAAGTAATTTCATAATTGTTCAAGTTCTTTTCTCGAATTACCTTTTTCAATTCGCTTTCAGACGCAGATGGAGACACTCCGAGAATGTCGTATAATTTTGTGTCAACAACATTCGCCATAGTGTAGGTAAAGATGTTGCTTCAGCAGGGAGGTGGATGGACAAAGAGAAAGAACCGGTGGAAAATGCTAATCTTTTGCTCGGCTTGCGTCTCTCTTTCCGGGAAGTTCACCGCCCGGTGTGTGCGCTGCTGCCTCTAGCCGACTGGGAGTAGAACAGCAAAGCAGGTCATGCGCTTTGCAGCCGCGGGGGCTGTAACACCCACACTTTTTCTAAAAACACACTTCAATACCCCCACTTCTCGTAAAAACACATTTCATCCCCCACACTTTTTGCCGAGGCGTAACGAAACTAAATAGCAAATTTATACAAAATGACGTCAGCGAAAGAGTATGAACAACCCCACACGAGGCAGGAGGCAAACCCATAGGTCAAGTTAGTTTGAGTGACAGATCTTACAGGCAATCACAGCTGAAAACATAGCCGTGCAGCACCATGACCCAAATCGGCCTCAACAGTGTTGCTGTGTGCCATGTACAGAAAGACAAGCTGGATAGGGTGAACAGAAAAATGAATTAATTAGTTTGTCTCTTATAATGAAAACAGAAAGAGCACGTTTGGTTCTTTTAATTGAACTGAGTGAAGGTTCAAATGTTCATATATCAGTGTTAAATGTTCAGGCTCGTTGGTTTTCATGCCATGTTGGCAATATCCAACATTTTTATGCAGTTGTAACCAACTGTAAACAATTCTTTAAGCATTAAACTTAATCAGTTTATAGTTTAAATAAAAATATTTAAAATCATATTACACAAGAGTTTCAATTTGTAGCTGACCCTCTTTTTCTTCAGAAAACTCAATACAGACGATTTATGTCTTCAACTTAAGAATCAGGGGTGTGCTGAAAAAAAGATTTGGGTAAATTGTAACAATATGAGTGAGCGGCATAAATGGCTCTTACAGTGTTGATCAGGGTTGGGCATAAAATGTAGATAATACAGTGTAAATTCAGAAACACAAAGCTATAACTGCATTGCACTGATAGAGATAGCAAGCAGAATATTGAATAACCTGGTTGAATTTGTGCATAAACCCTATTTAGAGGTAGGTAAACTCTATATGTCATAAATAAGAGAGGTGTATAAAAACATTTAGCTGTGTTCAGCTTCAGTCTTGCTCAGAAAAATTCAATTAAATGCTTTATTATTAAAAAATCAATATTAAATTGAGGGGTATTAATAAATTATGACAGCATTTTTTATGACCCTATTTGTCAAAATGATGGACAATGAGGAAGTCTAAGGTGACTTCTGAAATACAGGTTTGGAATATAAAATTGTGTGATTTGTGTCAATTTTGTTTACTGACTCAAGTAATGGGACTCAACTTGGATTCAGCTTGAATTATTCTTTGGTGACTCGGACTCGACTTGGACTTGAACACTGGGGATTCAAGACTCGACTCTGACTCAAACACTAAGGACCCGCAACTCAACTTGGACTTGAACACTGGGGCCTCAACTACAACAATGGTTACAGGCAAGGCCTTCACTTTTAAGACGTATAGCTTTATAGGTAATGTTGTTGTTGTTGCCAGAAGCTGCTACCTGCACGCAGCTTTCGAGCGAGAGGACCACCGCACAGAACAGACTCCTTTAACATGCAGCCACAGGTGGGGAAATACAGTAGTCAGCTTTAAATGTATAGATAGGATTGTAATGCCGTTAACTGAGCATCAAAGGCCACACGCATTGTTTATCATTGTGTTATCAAGATAGAATAAAGCCTGTGTTTTGAATGGAGTTAGCTGACCTCTTTCAGTTCTCCCTGCCAGAAAAGTCCAGACTCCTAAGGCTAGTTACCACCTCTGAGCAAAGGATAAAGCAGTTTAGCCATGAACCAGAGGTTCCCAACTATGGTGCAGGGCTGCAAATCTGTGCAGATAACACTGTATTTGAGAAAGTTATAACTAATAAGAAGTTGGATGCTGCAAGAAGTAAAACCTGAATTAACACTGGTGTGACTTTTGAATGACAGCAACAACTGAGAGAACAAAAGGGGCTGAAGAGTGACACCATGGTGGCCATATTTCTGGTGGGCAGGTAATTATCAGTTGTGTTTTGTTTGTGGGCCATTTGTTATTTTCCTGAAATCTATAAATAAAGTAGCTGTTAAACATAACCAGAGGTTTAAATTAGTCTAGTCAAGCTAGGATGGGGGGGGCTCCGAATACTGCTTCTGACTATCCATCTAGTTAACTTCCGCTTTCTAGCCAACAAAATGTATGGACTGCTTCTCATCAACTGGACTAATTCTGACTTCTCACAGAGAGGATCGACTGAAGTCAAGGGGAGGTGAAATCTGCTTCTACACTGGGCAAAAATGTCACTCTTTGTGGACCTCAGTTTGGCATTCAACACCATCATCCTGGACATCCTCCACTCTAAACTGACCCAACTCACTGTGCCCGACCACACCTGTCAGTGGATCAACAGCTTTTTGACAGATAGGAAGCAGCTGGTGAGGCTGGGAAAAACCACATCCAGCACCCGGACTATCAGCACAGGCACCCCCCAGGGATGTGTACTGTCCCTGCTGCTGTTCTCCCCCTACACCAATGACTGCTCCTCAGAGGACCCGTTCACAAATGACACCCTCTCATCCATGATGGTGATGAGTCAGCATACAGACAGGAGGCTGAACAGCTGTACCAGAATTTCATTGTACAGGAAAACACGTTTCCTAACTGTGCATATGACAAATAAACACTTTGACCTTTGACCTTGAATTAAAGCTGATTATAATTTTGATTCTGAATTATATTACTAAATTTAAATACATGGCTATACAAGATCTTTTACAGATAATTTCAAAACAATTTGACCCACTGGCACACCTGCTCCCAATCAGCGGAGCAGTACTTAAGGTGAACGTTGGTGTGTCCTCGTCGCCAGATCATCTCTCGACGTCCCGCCATCATCAGTAAGCAGTCAACTCTGACGAGCTGGGTTTCCTTTTTTGGTCTTGATGATCCCTGTGGTTTTTGCATTTCTCTGAACTGAACTCTGAATCGCTGTACTAGTAGCTTTTGCTTTGTGCCAGTGGAACTCTCCTTGAGCCTTGTTTTTGACTGAACTATGGTTTTAGGAAGTTTGGGTTTTGTTTGCCTTTTTGCACCCTGCTGTCTCCTCGCAGCCTGAGCTTCTTAGTTAAGGATTATCCTGTGGGGACGGTACGCGCCCTCCTCGGCGACTCAGCTGCCCAGACGCACTTTCCATGCTGGTTGACCTGGGCTGTGATCACAGTAGCTGGGAGCCACAGCTCCCCCCACCAGCGGATCCATGCACCGGCCGGCAGTCATCTCGCCACCTGCTGCCTCCCCGCACAGCATCGCTCTGCAGTTCCAGGTTCCATTCATTATTCCCCACATTGTCAGTATTTGATCTGCTGAGTGTTCTCATCATCCTCCTCTGTTCTCAATTTAGTGGCTGTCAGTACTCTCCGCACCCCGGGTTGCTCACCGAGTGGTCCAGTCTACACAGCTCCCAGTTGCCCGTACCGGCCATAACGTCCACACTACTCCTTACACCTTCTGTTACCGCCCTGATTAAAATTCTTTTATCTGAAGTCTGTGTCCTAGTTCTGCACTTACTGGGTCCTCAGTTCCTGGTCCTGACAGTTAGCCGTAACATACCTCCACCAAGGAGGTTATGTTTTTCGTATTGTGTCTTTGTGGTTTAGCAGGATTACAAACAAATGGCTGGATGGATCATCAGCATACTTGGTACAGACATTGGTGGGGACCAACCTCAGAAGTGATTAGATTTTGGCTGAAAGAGGTCAAGGTCACAAAAAAATAACAATTCACAAAAATCCCATCTTTAATATGGAGCAAAATTTTTAAAATTCATATCTCCAGAGGTTATCAAAATCATTTGAAATTTGACACTTATGTAGGGTGGCAATGTCTATCACTAGACCAAATTTCATCAGGATCTGATCTGGATTCCGGCTTTGATGGGCATTTAAAGTTAACTGAAAACCCCATTTAGCACATTTTCTACTATAATGAAGACAGAACCCTGAACTGTTCAGGTAAGATGCACAGTATAACTGCCTATCATACCCTAAAACGTGAGCCTGATCTGATCCGGATCAAGGATTTTATGATGCATTTTCTGTTGTTCTGGATCTCATTTTTCACAAGGGACACATTTGTGTGAGCAAATGTTATGCCTTGGCAGAGGTATATGCCCTCTGAGTGCTCGTTTTGACTGCAGAGCCATGTTCATGAAATGCAATGTCTGTGTGTGTATATACATTGTACAGATTATACAGACTGATACAGGTCTCTAGTTTTAAGTACTCTGTTTTTATCCCTATTTATCTCATTTCAATGAACATTCCTTTGCATTGTTTACTATGTTTATACTGCTTATCCTGCATTGTTTGCACTGTTTGTTGCTGTTAATACTGCTTATTTTGTTATATTACACAGCCTTATGCTGGTTTACTGTTTGCACATTGAGAGCCGATGTACCAGAGTCTAATTCCTCGTGTGTCCGTCACACCTGGCCAATAAAGCTGATTCTGATTCTGAAATCTGCTGTTTAGCAATACATGACAATCATGCCGGTATAATATATTGATCATCATCATCATACATGTACTGTATACTGCCTTAAGGCACATGGGACTGCATGCATCTATGTACCACATGATAAGATCCTAATGCATGTGGCCATGACTATCTGAAAGTCACATACTGTAAAAGGATTCCTTAAGCATGAGATAATGTAATGCATAATGAGAGGAAAGGAAAGGTTAAGTGGAATTTATAGGGTAAGAGAGCGAGTGAAAAAATGTGGTAAGGATTAATTTGACTTGTTTTATGTTTCTGCAGGATCTGCCCTATCTTTAGCCTGTGCCAATAATCTTTAAAGCAGAAATGATCATGTTGCAATTGGAATTATTCAGCCTAAAATTCTGTATATTCCACCATACAGGATTCACACAAATCAGAAAATAAATAATGCTAAAGTCATTTTGCATGCTAGTATCTATCATGGCAAAGCTAAACATCTTGCAAAGGTTGTGTCTTGTGTACCTCCATGTTACATTGTGTTTCACCTAGATGCAGCATCTTCAGCCAACAGGTGGTGCCATTTTTTCATGTCTCTGGGTTAAAATACACAAACACTTAAAAAGAGGTGTGAACTCTCATTTAATTCATGAGAATGAAATTATACAACCAATGGTTAACAGGTTGTGCTTGTTTTACACACTCAGTTCATGGGGAAATTCAGAAATGACATTTTCTTGTAATGTTCGGTGTGGGAGTGGGATGCTTGTTATTTTTATTCAGTCCAGGCCTCACAACTAAACACCTAATATTCCATTAATGATCACTCATTGTCTGAATGTCCATAAAGCTCACAGAGCAAAAATAGTCTGTACCGCCTACCCCAACCCCGTTCCTTTCCAAAATAAGATTGCCTCTGCATGGGCTCTTCCTGAGGAGAGACTGAATGGAGTTTACCTTCTGTGTATTTGTGAGGTAACCACGAAAACTACATCATTATTATTGTAACATAACATCAATGTCATTGTCATCATCATATTTCTGATCATCATCAACAAGTGCAACTTCATCATCAACTTCAATCTTATCATCAACATGTCATGTCATCTTCATAAAATCATCTGAGCAACAATTGAAAAGTATTAAAGAGTTAAAAGCCAAGCATCATCATGAGGCTGAATATATACTGGCTGTAATAGTACAGTACACTGACAAAATTAAAGACTCAAATAAATTATTAGAAGACTCACTATATGTCATATATGATATATCTTTGCATTGCAGTTGAATAAATGTAAAACCTCAGCTTCTTATTGTTGGGCTCTGAAGATTTATGATGGCATGGCCTGACACCCCCTCTTTCGGGCCAAATAATGGGTAAACACCATTTAACTCATATACTGAGCTTCTATATGAATACTCTGCCATTCTTTGGCACATTTATTTGTGTATTATTGACTGACTTTGTTTTTTTATGCCTGTATCCTGGTCTTTTATCAACCAAACAGAGAGAAGTATGGGGTCTGCATGCAAGAATATTCTCCTGTAAGTCTCTTATGGTAGGAGAGATTAAATGTGTATGTACTGGAGATTAGACAAGATGTCTCCACATTTCCTTCACTCTGAATCCATTATCTGAAGAAGAGAATGATTAATTTCCACTGTATTTTTCCTGTTCTTCACTTTTTGTCTCCCATTCCTCCACATGAGACAATGAGAGAATATCCTTAAGTGGTAGCCACTATACTATTATCACTGCTTGTAGGTAGAAGAGGGAAAAGGAGCGGTCATTTTAGGATTGCTCCTATCCTTTAAGATGCTCCTATCTTCTCTTCTTCCTTCTCTTATTGAAAGAAATGCAAGCTGTGTGTCTGCACTTCCTTTCTGCTTTTCTCTCTCCCTTCTCCATCTAGAAATCCATGGACATAGAGCGCTGCTGTGGATCAACTATGGTGGTGCTGTTACGAGCGCTGTTGCCACGAACACTGAGGGTTCCACAGGCTCCTGCCATCCCACCACCGATACCTCCGGCAATACCACTAGGCCCTGCCATGCCCATTCCTCCCACCATAGCCATTCCTCCAGCCATAGCCAGTCCTCCCGTTATTCCCACTGTCCCTGCAATGGTCCCTCCTGCTATTCCTGATGCTCCTCCTATTGCTCCTCCACCCGTGGCTCCTCCTCCAGTTCCTCCTCCGCCACGGCCATAGATCTCACATGGGACCTCCTCTGTGACCCGGTCTTCAATGACCTGCTGGTCGCAGTCATGAGTCTGTGTGTGCTGCTTGTAGCCATAGCAGCTCTTCTTGTAGCTGGCTGCGGAGTTGAAAGTCTTCATGGGTGGTGGCTTGGAGAAGTCATTGTGGTAGGACAGCTCCATAGAGCTCAGGGTAGTGCGGCTGTGCTTCATACTTCCGCCACCAGTAGCCACTGAGGCTTGTGAGCCGCAGTGGTGCTCGTGGACACAGCGAGATATGGTGGAGGAGCGTCGCAGCTTGTGGAAGCTGTCCAGCTCCTCAGACAGGTCAGCTAAATCTGAGGATATCTCCTTGTCCCGTAGAGAGAAGAGCTCGTAGTGTGGTGGGTCGAATACCTCTTGGAACCCAGCCTTGTTGAAAACACCAGGTCGGCGAGCTACAACCTGGAAAAGAAGAAAACCTATTCAAACCATTACATTTTAGGAATTAGGATAGGATGGCAATAGTTTTCACACCGATCCCAAGACAAACCACAGAACAACCCTCGGTCAACTGTCAGAAAACAGTAAATGTGCCACTAAAGGCATCTGAAAAACTATTTTCTCACCTTCTTGCTATACCTGATGGGAGTCAACATAACATTTTTGCTGAAGTTAGAGCAGCTTTGTTTATTTAACATGAGAGATTTCAGTATTTATGTTTTTGTCCATATTGTTCTTGCCGGTTTGAAGGACAAACTGGATGTCAGAAACTTCTGAGTATAATTCATAATATAGCAATATTTGAATCAGTTTGATTCCTGGGGTTGCTACCTTACACCAAGGAGATTATGAGATTATTGGTTCCGTATGTGTCTTTTGTTAGGAGGATTATGGACAAATGACTGGATGGATTGTCAGCATTGGTACAGATATTGGTGGGGACCAACCCTAGTAGTGATTAGATTTTGACTGAAAAAGGTCAAAGGTCGAGGTCACAAAAAATAGGGGGGAAAATCACATACAAAAAATTTCCCATTTAAAAAAAAAAAAAAAAAGTAATTCTGTCAAAAGTTATCAAAATTCTTTGTTTGAAATCTGACACATATATAGGGTGGCAACATCTAGCACCAGACCTTATTTTATCCAGATCTGATCTGTATTCTGGATGTCTGTCTTTTTGCTTATGCTGCCTGCCCACTGTCAATCAAATTTAATCAATCTACCAAATGTAGTTTAAATATTTAATGTTGTAATAAATAAATAAATAAATTCATTAGTTTGTTATTTAATTAAGAATTTGAAATCATGTTTTCTGCAGTTTGAAGATTGAAAGTTTAAAAAGATGATGGGAGGAAAGTGATGATAGTCAAGTTCACCCTTAAAACCTCCCTAAAACAAGCTAAAACAAAGATAAAATCATCTTGTATGTTGCAAAATACTTCAGATTCTTTAAATTTGGGGGCTATATTTATGTTAACCAAACTCACAGTACCTGTTGTGATCTTATTCTGTGGTACAGAATATTTATACCTTTATAAAACATTATCTGCTCAGTGTCAATAGGCCAGTACCACCATTGTATACAATGTTTAGCTGTCATTGAGAGATAAGGAGTCAGATACACCTATCTCTCAATAGACCAGGCATAAAGAAATGCTTTGATTGCCTTCTGGCCATTGTGGGAAATCTCAAACAAAAAATAGTTGAGGCGGCTTAATAGAAAGAGATTAAACAAAAAAGATAACTAAATTAAACATCTGTGTTATAATGGATTTTTGTTTGATACAGTGTGAAATAGTGAAATCCAAGAGTGATTTTCTTCCTTCTCTGTCTCCAAAGCTACATGTGCTCAGATCTGGTCCCACTTGCTTTCAATTACACGTCTCTTCTTTTCTGGCTGGGTCTGCTTTCCTTCTGAACAAAAGGTCAACGTCAACAGACAAGTTACCTTTTTTCTTGGCTGCTTCATCTGAACCAGGATGGAGATGATAAGAAGAACCAGAACTATGCCTGATGAGACACCAATGACAGTGCCATGGGTCTTAGTGATCTGATGAAATAGCCCTCTAGAGCGCTTCTCTGATGAGTGAAGAGGTGAGGAGAAAAGAGAATAAGAAAAATAAAGCAAGTAATAGAACACAGGGGAAAACTACAGAATCTCAACCTTGTATCTTGCTAAACTCATAAGTAATCATAATAACCTAATTTTGGAAAGTTTCAAAACAACAAAAGATGATCACCTTTGCAGTGGTTTTCATCCCATGGATAGACACAGTTCTGAACCCCATTGCACACCAGGGAGTTATTAATGCACATGTTGCTGTGGCAGAAGAATGTACTGGCTGAACAGGGGGCTGCAGGCAAAAGACAGTACACATAGAAAATTGAATTTAGGAAAAAAAAGAACAACAGGAAAACAGCTGTCTACTGTGCTGAGTAAACGATGACAACACTGAAAAGAACTAGAAGCCATTTTCAGGATAATAACAGTAACACCACAATACAAGAACAATAATTTGGCTGTAGAAATCTGTCATGGATGTTCTGGAGACATCTCCACCCAAGGCCATCATCATTTTCTGCAGATACTGCAGCCTTCGTGTTGGGGGTGAGGGTGGATGTGTGGATAGTTGAAAAACTAGGAGCAGGACGAGAGGAGGAGTATGGAAATGGTGAAGAGAAGGCAGGGGTGGGGTGGTAATAGGAATGGCTTCAGGCCATAGTGGAGTACAGATGGTCAGGCAGGTGCCATGAGACGCCCCACATTAAAGTGACTATTAGCGTACAAAGGCTGAGATGGCAGAGACAGAGATGACTAGTAATTGATGATGGCTGCTAGGCTCAGGAGATAGATGCACTGTCTGTAAGAAGATGCAGATGCCTGGGTCTTGGTACAGACAATCTGGGCAGATTTGGCTGAAGTGGAAGTTAGCTGGGAAGCATGGGGAGTCCTGTAGTGCTGTTTTTGTTTGTATAATAGGCATAAAATTTACCACTTAGTTTTCATTGAGAGTTCATACTGTTTCTGTTTTGATATGCTGGAGAACAGGAAAGACTCAAACACAGACCCATCGTATAACACAAAAACTGAGCAGTACTATTTCAATTAAATTCAATTGTATTTGTAAAGGGCCAAATCACAACAAAGGTCATCTCAGGACACTTTACAAAGTAAAGTACTATTATTAATATTATTTATAGAGCTAAAACCCACCAAATCCCCCTTGAGAAAGCACTTGATGACAGTGAGGGAAGAAAAGTTAATGACCCGCTGTACCTCCTGAGCCACAGCCGCCCCCGATGATGCTATTCTGTGTTTCCATTCTCCCTGTCCCAAGCACCTCCAAGGTGTGAACAACAGCAGGCTGGGATCTGTCAGGTATCAACATGTAGCCTGTCGTATCCCTCATTCAAGAACGTATGACTCTATAACCATTTAATCTGACATAGTGACCATTGGATCAGACAAAAAAAATCGTGTAGTCTGAACCAGGCACAAAACAGACTGTAGTTCACTCCACCAACTTCACCACTGTCCAAGATCCACTCTGATGAGGGCTCTGAGCTTCCGCTTCCCTTTCCCTGCATGCTTCCTCTGCCTTGGAGTTAAATAACTTTGAGAAGGGGTTGTGTACACAGTATGTACATACGTGTGTGTTGGAGTGTCCTCCCTATCTATCTCCCGGTGAGCCTGTGGATGGTGTCGCTCCCCTGACACTGCAATCACTTCCAAACCAATTACACATCCACTGCCTTCAAAATGTCATTTCTCAGAGGATGTCAACAACACTTCACGCTCTTACTCCCACCCTCCTGCCATACATGCACATGCATATTCATGTCTGAATATACAGTATATGTACTGTGTGTGTGTGTTTGTGTATGTGGCTGGGTAAGTGTCTGTATCAGGTTTAGATTTTGGAGGGAATTCTGTTGGAAGGTTAGAGCACATTAAGGATGATGGAGGGTGGAAGGCAACACTCATCCTGTTCACTGAGTGACAAAGATTAATGGTTCCCTCTAACCTCAAAGTAAACTCTGAGCCAGTGGCTGACTCTGGCCAAATAAAGTTTGGGAGTTATTCAAGAGACTTCACACTTTGCCGAGATGAGCTGTGTGATCAGAATTAATGAGGATCCAATTGCTTTTAAGGACTCAGACTAAAAAAACAACCTTTGCTGAATTTAAAAAGCCATTACGTCTTGACTGCAATGGTTATGGGTTTGCTGATGAAAACAACATTAGCATTCAGCCAGGGTTTGGGAAGTATTCAGGAGAATGTGAGAATTAATCCCTCAGTCTATTCAGGCATTTAATGAAAACACTTCAGTGCTCTAAAAGAAAAACTGTTTTTATATGGCAATTTTTGCTACTTTATGTGAAACCTTTAACACCATTAGTTTGAAACTTCTTCACAGGACTGTTTTTATGCATACACGAGCTAGCCACTCACCCAGGGTGCCACCATGTGTAAGGGCACCAAACAGAACAAAGTAATAGTTTATGATTAACTTCAGATGCACAATCTACTTTTTAAATCTGTCACTGATGTTCAATGTTACATTGTTAAAGAGAAAAAACAAACACTGCTCACCCTGCACTAAACAGCTGACATTGAGAGGAGACTACAGACTAGAGTTTAAGTGAAAGAATAATCTTCGTAAACTGCTTGTTCTCATAAACTGTAACCTGATGGCAGTTCATTTGCTCACAGTGCTGTGCAATAATCACATATCTGTGACCAGATGACTTATGTTCCATGCAAACATTATATTATGATCCATGTGGCCTGTGTGTGCAGGGCTGTCAATGCCAGTGTTTTGATTACCTGGATTACCATAAATCCAGATGCTTACCTCTGGAATGACAAGTGACAAAACTGTCCCACTGTGCTCAATTAAAATAGCGAAGGCAAGGCCTTATGAGCATTTCAGTTATATAACCAGTGCAGCAGTGAATGATGAAACGTTTTGCTTATGTCACCAAAATACTGTAGCCAGAAACAACCCCACCTCCTTGTCCTTGAAAAAATGATGAAGCTTAATGTGTGATCTCTTCCAGCAGATACATTAACCTTCTTCAGCCTTTCTTTATGGCAAAATAGAGAAATCAGTATATATTTGCCTTTTGTAAGTGACTTTTAATAAGAACTGTATCATGCTTTGACATGCATATGCAAATTTATTTGATGCTTTCAGTTATTCAAAAAATGCTTGACTAAATAATTGTTGCTCACATATCTCTGCTTTAAACATGGCACAGCTCAATTAGTTTTCCTCATTGTAATGACACTTTAGTGTCCGTTAATGACTGCTGATGTAGAAGGTGTGTGGGACCTCACAAATCAACTGCTTCTCTGTGTGGATGGTCAATGTGGTGGCTGGTAAGGTTTGGGTGTTACAGTAAAGTAACAACATATGGTGGCTTAATTCATGACGGACAGTTACACGGTGATCAGGGGCAACAGAAACTGAAATAGAAAACTGTCTTTCAGTGACCAAACAGCAACATTGACATAGATTTACCTCTGTCACTGAAGATATTTGCATAAATACAGTAATAAAAAAGAACTAAAACATTCTTGACATTCTATTTTTTCAATTTTGGTTCTTCATAAAGTTAAACTGTTAACAAGACTGGCACTCACGGTCAATGAAGGAGGTGAAAAGCATACGAAACCGGCTGAGTCGGCTCTTCTCATCAGCCCACATTCGCACAACTCCCACACCATTATCCAACATCACATCATTGGCCACGGTGCTACAGAACTTGGCCTTGAGGTTCTCGATGGCACTGCTGCCATCATACACGGCCACAAAGTTCTTCTTGCACTCATTAGAGTGCTCCATCTGGTAGTCAGTGAAGCGCAGGTAGATCTGCAAATAGACAGGAGATGGAAATCAGTGTGGAGGCAAATGAATGCCAACTCCACAGCAAACCCTAGGCTTAACCTCACAGTCACACTGCACTAAATACAGCCAATTTTTAACATTTAAGTACTGTTTTTCAAAAATACAGTAACATACTGTGAAGTCTGATGCTTTTTTGGGGCCAGAAACCAGAATCACCATTACTGGCAGGCTACCATACAATGTGATGCTAAAATGCAATGTTGTAACAGGCAGCGTTTTCATTTCTGCAGTTGGACTGGAATGTTGACATATAGCCTAATCATTGGTCCTCTTTTCTTGAAACTAACAATAAGGTCAGAGATATCATTCTGTGAAATTAAAATTGGCTAACAAATTTGTATCTGTAGGTGAAGTGCATTTTACAAGAATGTAGAATGTACCTTGTATTCTTATATTCAAATAATGTGTATCTGTACTTTAACAGAAATGTCATGCCAGTGCTACTGTACTTCATTTATATTCAGTTGTAATTTCCTGTTACATTTTGTGAGTTCCCTGATCTTGGTCAAGGGGAACTGAGGCCAGCTGTGGACAGATGGTGTCCAAGGAGACTGGCAGCATACTATGACCTGGATGACTGAGAATTTGCATGGACATTGTTCTTAAACATTTCAGTAATTTTCTCACAGATATGTTGGCAAACCAGTGGTCCTCTGATCATCTTTGCTCCTAAAAGGCTCTGCCTTTCTTGGATGCCACTGTTATACCAAATCATGATCGCAGTCACCTGTTTACATCACCTGGTTCAAATGGAATCATCATTTCATTGTTTTGCCTTGAAATACAACCGTCCCAACTTTTTTTGAAATGTGTTGCCGGCATCAGAATTGAAGTGTGTTTATTTTGAACAAAGAATAAAATTGATGAGGTATCACATCAAATAATGTGCTGCTGTAGTGTTTTCAGTGTAATACAGGACACAGATGATTTACAAATCAGTATTTTCATTTTCAATTTTATATACCGTCCCAACTTTTTCTGATTTGGGGTTGTAAGATTAATAGAACAGAATAGGATCATGGGACAGATTGAGGACCTGCCCACTCTTCTCCTGCTGGTATAAAACCAGAAAAAACAGTTTGGGAGAGGGATAGATGTACTGACAAAGAAGAGTTTTGAAAATCTAAGCATGCATCATTCATATACTGATAACTGGCCTGTGCAGTCTCCCTCGCCTGTTTCCTTTCTCATAGCTGAGTGTCAAGGATGCTGAGCTGAACCCACACCTCCTCTGGCTTCATAGTCTAAAACCAGTGGTGTGGTTGGGTGGTCCTTCCAACTTATACATTTACAATTGTCTTATATTTGATGTGTAACAGTGAAACCACCACTTGGTAAACACACCTTGCTCATATGATAATGTACTACTGTATCATTTGGTTAATGAGAAATGATTGATGGGACTATTAAATAGCTGACCAAAAACAGTGTCTTCCAAATTCAGAAACAGAATCTGCTTTATTGGCCAGGTGTGTCAGACACATGAGGAATTTGACTCTGGTACATCAGCTCTCAATGTGTATGTACATATCTCCATGCAAGGGCCAAGTAAACAGTAAACCAGCATAAGGCTGTGTAATATAACAAAATAAACAGTATTAACAAACAGTGCAAACAATGCAAAATAAGCAGTATAAACAGGCAGTAAACAATATAGACAAAGGAATGCTCACTGAAATGAGATAAATAGGAATAAAAATAAAGACCTGTAAGGATCTGTATAATCTGTACAATGTATATTTACAGGTATTGAACTGAGAGTTATTGTCCAGTCATACTGTTGTGGGTCAAGTGTTCAGAGTGACAGCCTGGGGGAAGAAACTGTCCCTGTGCCTGGTTGTCTTAGTGCACAGTGACCTGTAACACCGTCAAG